GTAACCAATCAATTTGGTAATGAACTAGTTAATTAAAATAAAATATTATCTATAGAACCCAATCAAATTCGATCTAGACTAGTGTTCAGTTATGAATTCATTCAGCGTTATTGAAATTAGCGGAAAACATCGTCAACGACAAATTGTTTCGGTTATGTTGAAATGAGTAAAAATGCAAATTACCATTTAATATAGCATGATAACCGAATAACTATAAAAGAAACGTGTATTTAATACGTCTGATCCAAAAATAACAAAATAATTGCTGATAACATAATAAATACAGCCTTTTGTTTTTCGTTGTCTACTATTCTGGTGTATAGATTCAGATATAACTGACAAATTTTAATATTTTGACGTAAATTTTAATATTTTGACGTAAATTTTAAATTTTGATGGAGTCCATGTTCGATTTTTGTCTCAAAAAAATAAAATATATCAAGCATGCCAATCTACGGCACCCAATTATTTCTTCTAATTATTCAGCAGATTCAAAACACATCATGTGGCAATCTATGTGCAATAGTCATTTGTTTCGTTTTTTCCTCATGCTCGACATGTATTAAAATGCGTTAGAAATATCTTATGCACATTACATTGCTAATTATAAACATTTCCTTTCGTTTTGTTGCTTCTTCTTATGTCTGTATACGTCTATATCACTAGTTTTTCTTTTCTGTTCTGTCACAACTTAAGATGAAATGAAGATGAAGGTATAATACTTTTTATATCTTACGGTCCATCACTATATATATATAGTCAGTTCTACGAGTTTTTTCTTCACTTATTCTCTATTCGGAATAACTTTTTGTATCTTTTAGATTGATTTCAACATTCATTATTATGGATTTAGGTACTTGTTGTCTAAAGTCAGTTAAATGATATGGTAAGGACATTGGAATTCGGACTTGTATCAATTTTAATTACAAATTGACTAGTCAGTCTATTATAATATCGATAGGTTACTTCTGCACTAATCAGAACAGCATCAATAACAATCATTATCGATGCAGCCTAATTCGATATCCACTGACTGGTTTTTGGTCACATTAAACAAGTTTTTTTCAAATTTAGATTTGTTATTTTTCTCTATTTGATACATATTAATCTATTGTTGATTTTCATGTTATATTTTAACTATACCAATAAACAGAGAAAAAAGTACTTTTCTGTGAAAGTCTTACATATTTTCGAACTCAAATATTTGATAAAAAGCGTGATTTAGAAAATGAATTTCATTGACTTGTCTTGTCTCGTTCGTTGGCGGCAGCCTATCTGATGCGTTTCTACTTGATTTTAGGGACTAAAACTGGTTGAATTCTTTAAATATCAATATTTAAAGAAAAAGACAAACTTAAATAAAGCCAGCCATTATATTTTAAATCTCTAAAATTCATGACAACTTCGTATTTTGTCTTATTATGAAATGGTATCGATAAGTTTTTTCATAAATGATAGAGCCATGTAAATAATATGAATTGAACTGTTTTTTGATCGATTAAGCTAGAAAAATTCAATCGAACGATTTGATGCACTGGAAAAACAATCTAAATGTTTCTGACTTTCAAAGGAGTTGATATATTGTAACATTGCCATTTCTTGTACAGTTATAGCAAACAGATCAACTGAAATTTTTAACGAATCTGCTATCAACAGGCAAATCGAATATATACATGCTTATTTCAAGAAGATATTGAATTTATTATTTCAAGAAAAAAATTTAGCACTGTTTTTTTAAAATGTCTAAGATAGACATAAAGTATAGTGTATGTCGATTATCTACGACACACACACTCGTAGCGGCCAAGGACCAGTTCACAGTGACCACTATGATAGTTTTGCGTTCTACAGTGCACTCTGCACAGTTTTTGATCCAGGGAACTCGCTGGGTTGCACCTCTGTTGACGATTAACAGTCGATACGATTCCACTTTTCTGTATGTCTGAAAAATTAACAAAGTCATTTTATCTCATATTAATGAATCATAGCTTTCTACTTACTGTTATTTAAATCTGTATCAGGTTCGTTTCCAGCTTGAGCCACAATAACCAAAATGAAGAAGAATAAAACTAATGCCAGTTGCTTTGAAATCATAATGCTTATATAAAAAAGATGGCTCTATGATAGTAAAATCATTAAATTACGTCTATACTTACTCAAGTATATATATTTTCACTTGATTTTAATAATAATGATCAATAAAACTTAATTTATGATGGTAGAAAGGACTCTTTATATATCATATCGTTGTATCATGAAATCTACATGGTAAAACTTCCAGATGGCCATCATGAAAAAGGCGGATGATGATTATTTCCAACAAAAACTTCCAGATTTCCAATAAAATTGCTTGTTATTCATATCAAATTGGCATGTAATGTTTCGTCATGAGGATTCGTGTAAATTTTCTCATCGCGCATATAGTTTTTGTCAACATGGATAAGCTAGGAAGTAAGCCTACGCAATAGAAAAAATGATAAGCCGAATAAGAAAGTACGGATTATCATTCTAATGATTCTTACATGATCTTGTGAAAGAAGAAATAGCTGTGTGTTTGTATTAAGAACATACTATCCTTATGAAATTGTAAGTTTTGATTTTCAGATTCTTTGAGAATACTCTTATATTTACTCTTAGCAGATGAATTTGAAAAGTTCAATATTCAAGATCAAAGAAGAAAGCGATTGAATCAACTTCATTTTACAGAAAAAAAAAATAGTTAGTCATTCTGAATTTTCATAGCCAAAACAAAATTAGAAACAAATCATTCTGTCCTTGATCTCTATCACTCTTAGCCAACGAATTTATTACTACAAATAAAAAACTTAGTAAGAGAATGAATAGAATACGTTGAATTTGTATAATGTTTTGGCAAGTGATTTTCAATAGACAAAATGTCTCTGATGTTGTAATCTTTCTGTTTGTGAAATGTTTCGTTTTTATCAAAACATGAATGAATAGTGAAGCTTTCTTGTTATTCAAAACCGAATAAAAACCATCTAGAAAATGATCTTTTGTTTGAAATCTTTACTGAAATTCAACTTTATTCTCACAGCTTGCTTTTTTGAATCAAGTCAATCAATGCATTGAAACATTTACAACGAATGAAGTAATGTAACTCTAGAAAAGCGTTTATTTTGATGAATGAAAAACGTCATATAATAAATTATTTTAAAAAAAGAATTGTAACTATATTGTATGGTATTATATAAACAAGGATTACTATGACATGATAACAATGAGTAACTGACACAACACCAGCTTTAACATTCAATATCAACAAAGTTAATATTGTTTCAATTGAATAAATGAACTCTATGAATAATTCTGGGTATTTGCATCGGAGTTTAATAAAAGAAGCACTGATAGTTTATGATTGATTATCATGGTTAGATTTTACGTTTCGTATTCTTCCAATTTGTTATCTTTTTCGAGAAGAATCGAAATAAAATAATTTCCGAAAAACACGTCATATTCACTGTTAGTCATAGGAAATATGTCACCGTGGAGCGGTTCTAAAGGAAGAGTGTTCGGAAGAAAAATTTTCTTCTTCCGAACACTCTTCCTTCAGAAGCACTCCACGGTGATTTGCGAACTATATTTCAAATGTCCTTGACTTATATTATTATACATTCTAAAATATGAATAAATTTTGCATTGTAATAATATTAATATTGTCTTTTTTTCTCCAACAAAAACATATGAAATTTTTTCAGAATGACGTACGTAACGTTATTATTGAAATTAACTTTCTTCTAGTTGAAAAAAGACGGAAAAGTATCAGTAGACACTGTGAGAAAAAATGATTGTTATGATAGTAAAAATTTTGAAAAAAAATTCGCATTTCGTACATGGGTCACACAAGAAAGCTTTCGTGTGTCAGGTGTATTGGCAGTTACTATTTCTCTCAGGAAATAACTCCAATGATGAAAAAACAAGTAGCGTCAAAGCATTCAGTCCAAATATGTATTTTCCATTAGTATGATTGTTTCATTAAATTTTCTAGCTTTAATAAGTACTTATTCAAGTTTGATATAATAAAACTTTGATAATAAAAAGTTTGTTTTTTGTTTATTCTTTAGCATATGTGAATCTTGCAGACAGGATATATGTTTTTCTCAATATACATTATCGTTACAGACATGATTCATAGGATCTGATATTTTAAAAATCATAAAAATTTCTTCTTTTTTAGCAAAAGATTAGTTTGATAATTGGATAGAATTGTCTTTACCATTATATCATCATATTAAGTCAACCTATGAATTAATTTATTTATCTTGCTTTATATCATTTTTAAAAAATTTATTTGCTCATAAATTGATAGGTAATGCATATATAAATGTGATAATACTATTCTTGAAATAGAGAAATTGAGAAGTAAATTATTTTAAATAACAATTTTAAAATATAGATGCATTATCATCGCCAAGTCTCATCATTTTTCTGAATTTGTTTTTATCATAAAATGATTGCATGCATTTAACATCGAAAACAACAAGTTAAATGAAAGATAAATCAATTAGTTCGATGTTTTTTTTTGTCTCCTGTGTAAGCTTCAACATGAAAGAAAAAATCAACGACGAAAAAGAAAAATATAAATATTTACTTTGATTATCTGATGCTTCATTTTATTTTAGTGATAAAACTAGTCTTCGAACATATGCCTATGTAGACAAATATTTACTTGCAAGTCTTCCGAGAAAAATGACGAATAATAAATCAAACTGCATGCATTTATAGAAACGGTACTACTATTCTGTATACCAACATTAAATATTACTTTTTAGTTGCTTTTATATTTAAGAACAACCCATATGATTATGAAACACATTTTAGACGCTGCTAAATGTGTTTATCATTGCAACTAGCATCATTTTGGTGCGTCTTTGTGCCAGCAATTGCAGAATGCCTTCCAAGAAAAATTCAGAATTCTGTGAACTTATGCATTTTTTAAAACGAGTTGATTATCACACACTAGAATTCTGTTTTTATCTTCTTATTTCTCAATAGAATTCTATGTTCCAAAAGACAAACTTTATGTCGGCTAGCAATGAAAGGATAGTATTATTCTTTTCTGGTCTGTTTCAATTCTGCCTAGAATTTTGTAGAATTCTGTGTTATCAAAGACAACATATTCCCTTCTGGCCTGTTTAAATTCTGGTTAGAATACTGTAGAATTCTATTTTATCAAAGACAACATATCCTCTTCTAGTCTTTTTTAAATTCTGCTTAAAATTCTACAGAATTCGGTGTTATCAGAGATAACGTATATATATATATATTGGTGTTCATTAGATTTTAAAATTCAGTTCTGGTCTGTTTAACCCTTTGACCATCGCCGACGCATATATCTGTCATGAACTTTATTAGTGTATAAAACTGACACAATCAATCATAATGTATGGTTTTTTTAGATTCGTTTGCATAGAAAGAAGCATCAGAGGGTGTGGGTGGGTGTAGGTATGGATATGGCTGTGGCTGTGGGTTTGGGTAGAGATATGGATGTGGGTGTGAATAATTCTAACGTGAAACACCCACACCAGAGTTGTAACCGGACTGGCAGACCGGCTGGTCCAGTCCGTTCCGTTAGAACCAACTGTTTTTACTGGCTCAGTCTGAATTTTTTTTTGAATTTTTCCCTATTTTTTTCCGAAAAAATGTTCAAAAAGGTGGTTTTCTTCGAACGTCAAAAACTTTTTACTAATGTCGAAGACTAATTTGGTAAAAAAAATAGTATTAAACTATCCTATAGAGTCAAAATTTATCATGGATGTTTTCATATTTATCCAATCCATGTGGGTATGACACTCTGCTCATATAGTTCCAGGAACGACATTTTATCATTTAAAACAGTTTTTATTGGCCAAAACTACCGTTTATCATACCTAAACGTCGTTTCATAAAAGAAAATAGCTGGATATTGATCTTCGTAAACAGCACAGAAATGTTATTATGAGTATATAAGCTCGAATGCATACAAAAACGTTTTTGGTAGCGTTTACGAAGGTCAATATCCAGCTATTTTCTGTTCTGAAACGATGTTTAGGTATGATAAACGGTAGTTTTAGCCAATAAGAACTGTTTTAACCGACAAAATACTGTTTCTTGAACCACATGAATGTTGTTCAAATAAAATCAAATGATTAATTGTTTAGCATTGTAGTTTATCATGAATTTATATTTCCTATTATTTATCACATATAGTCCTCACAGACACGAAAGATGACAAAGCGAATATAGCATACAAGGTAGATTAAGCCTATGAACAATAAATAGAGCTCATATTTGATGAATAGTTAATCAAATTGCAAAATGAACATAGAATTTATGGTCATATAAACTTTTGTGCTCACCAATAGATATCGAGAAGCAGAAAACATATGAAAGAAAATAGTAAAAAGCACTGCAGTGGCGAAATAGTACTTTTATATCATAGCTGTAGTGATTAGAAGAAATATATGACACATCTAGGTGTTGATTTGAGTGTTATAGAGTCAGAAAACAGAGGAATAATTTATACCGGTATATCGGCCTGTCCGGTCCAGTTCGGTCTGATCAGTTAGACCGGTATCGGTAAGGAAAAAACCCTACCGGTTACAACTCTGACCCACACCCCCACCCAAACCCATACACATACCCACACTCACACTCACTCTTCACACTCACACCACACACTCAGAGCCATACCTACACCCACATCCAGACTCACACCCTCCACTACGATTGATGGCCAGACATTTGTTTTGTCTTTAATTCCTTCAAATGAACGTAACTAGACTCTCCAAAGAAGATGTTATGTTTGCGGCAATAGTGAACGACATGCGAAGAAACGAAGTAATACGTGTTACCCATGTACTGAATGTGATGTTGGCCTGTACATCATGGATTGTTTCAAAGATTTTGATATCTCACAGAGAATTTAACGTTATCTTGTATAAATCTGTAAAACTGAATCGAAAATAAATCGCTATGATGATTTTCTACAGAGCTTTTTTCTCTCTTTTATGTCGACAGCGAAAGGGTTAAATTCTTCATTAAAATTTTTCTTTCCTGTTAGAGATATACATTTCTAGTATGCGTATACGAAATTTGTCTTCTGCTACATGTAACTGAATTCCATTTAAGTTCTGCTAGTATTTTTAAATTTTTAACTAGAATTTCTTTTCTCTTCAAAAGTTTATATTCTGTTAGTCGCTACCGAATTCTGTTTAAATTCTGCTTGTATTTTTAAATTCTTGACTAGAATTTTATTCCTGGTGAATATATACATTCCTAGTATGTCTATTGGAAGTTTGTATTCTGTGAGTTATAACAGAATTCTGCTTAAATTCTACTGGTATATTTAAATTCTTGATTAGAATTTTCTTTCTCATTGGAGATATACGATTCTAGTATGACTGTTGAAAGTTTGTATTCTGTTCTTTATAATAGAATTATGTTTAAATTCTTCACTAGAATTGGGCAGTGACCAAGGTTGTGTGTTGATCTCTGCTAATCTTGTTTATCTTCTGCTATTAGAAATGGAATTCTATCAAAATTTTGGTGCACTTTTTAAATTTTTAGCAGAGGTCTGTTGTTTGACGGGTTGGATAGGTTAGTGTGCTGCTTAGTAATTTATTTACTAATGAGAATTTATCTTTGTGAGCTAATTCACTGTTTACCGATCGGATTTTTAAATTCTGAATTCTGCAATTCTTCCATAATTTATTTGTAACATACAAGATATAATCACGAAGTATAATGTGTCAGAAGATTTGTGAGCGTCTGTGATGATCTTTCATTTATGATAAGATGTCATTACCCTATGAGATATAATTAATTGAGCGTGTATCTAACTTCGACAAGTACAGAACATTCGTTTAGTAACAATGCTTAAAGCCAAATATTTTCATTCTTGTCATCAATATTCTGTTCATAAAAATCAAAATCATCGTTAACAAAGATTGTACAGCAAATGTAACACGTAAGCTTAAGTATTAAGAACAGCGTTTAACTTGAAGTCAAGAAGCGCTTGTAAGTTCTTCATTCTCAATTATAGAAATGTATGTAAAATAATTGATAAACTAGGATAGTCCAGTAAAATCAAACTTACAATATTTATTTTAAAAAACGAAATGCATCTTTTTAAATCCATTTTATTTGCTTTCTACTCATTTCATGAGAAAATGAATTCAATAAAATTCAAACACAACTAGAAATGATTAAAAATCACTTTTAAACAAACAAAAAAAAAAGAACAGAGTTCGTTAACTTTAAACTACACTGATAAATTTGAAGTAATAATTGTGCTTTAAAATCAAAATTAAATCTTAAACACTGCATAGAGTATATATCCATTATTGAAGGACACATTATCTAAAGAAATCGATTAATCTCATATTGAGTAACTCCGACACTATAATAATTACTTCACGAAGTTCGATTGCATGAGAAATATCTCATATACTTATTTTGAAATGGTATGATCAAGAGAAAACGAGGAAAACATTTCAAAGTTTATGTGACTTCAATAGCTGTTTGTGACAAAAGTAGATGTTTTTCCTCTATATGAAAGGACATTGTGATGAAAACTAAGACTAAACGAGCATGTATAGCTCGATAGTAAGTTCATTGTCTTCTACTTGATACCAACTGTGGTAGAATCTGATCTGATCCACTTTATTCAACAATATAAATTTGTGTTAGATTGAAGTGAAAATGTAACATAATGACAACAGTTGATCGATATCGTACCATAGCTGTAAATTGTTTTCGTTTGTAAAAAAAAGAAAGAATCTTGAATGTCCTCAACGCGTCTACACGAATGTAAAAATAAACGTCGTCAGAATGCGACTCTGTACTAGAACACATTCTAATACCTGAAAATGTCGCATTGTGAATGCGTCAAAATGCGTTCGCTGTAAAGTCGGTGAAACGCTTGGAGAAGACCTTCAAATGTTCCAAAATGGTTACATGGGAACTAAGAAAGAAATAATAGACTTGAAGATATTGAAGCGATTTCAAAGACATCACTTTGTAAATTAGAAAATAATTTATAGAGAACAAAAATGATATTCTAGAAGTGTCTATAGAAATTCATTAGATGAATTTCTACTTTCTTGAAAATACGATATTCGAAAAGATAGAAAAAATAAATTCAATTTTCCAATTAGAAAATCGAAAGTGAATTCATATGAACACTTTGAGAAATTGGTATTTAATTTAATAGTTTGAACATTTTCTATAAATTTGAAATTCAATTTTCATTTTCATTTTATTACATTGTAAACTAGAATATAATTTATAGAGTATAATAAAAGATATTCTAAGAAAGCTCATACGAATTCATCGATGAATTTCTATTTTCTTGAAAATAGGATGTTTAAGAAAATATATGTGTTAGGTAGTGGCGCTATCTTTTGTCCACTACCTCCTTTTTCTTCTCTTTCTTCTATGTTCTATTGATTGGTCATCTGTGTGATCCATAAGAATAGATAGATGACCGGATAGTTAGTTAGTGTGTTTTGTTTTTCCCGAGTAGAAAAGAATAAAACGTGAACCAGGAGTGTGTTGATCGACACTTCCTAACAATATGTATAAGAAATTCGAGTTTTCAGTTACATAATCGAAAGTGAATGCATATGAACTTTTGTAGAAATTCACATAGAATTTAGCGATTGGTACATTTTTTAGAAATTGGAAAGTCTACTAACGAAGCAACATTCCCAGGTATTCGAGCGCTTTGAAGCCGAAAGTAAGTGCATTTTGTAGATCTTAGTGATCTTTATCTATGGTGCTAAAAAAGCTCATGCTGATAACTTATTTTGGAGAAGATCGGCCCTTCTTACTTTTACAACTGGGGGAGCTGTTTTATTGGGAAAAAGTATTGTCTCAAGTATTATAATTTGAAACAAGTTAACGAGGGAAGGTCTCCAAGTGTGAGGTTTCACTTCGAATTTGATATTTTCCATTTTGTAGAGGTCAGTGAATTCAACATGTGACTCAAAGAATTTATCTTTCATTCAAGACTTTTAAGGGAGTGCGTGGTATTATGAAGAGTATCGCATAATAGCTACTATACCGTAAAAATAACGCAAAAATCGAGTACAAAAACTTATTTATTTCAATCTTTTTGATGTGTTTCATCACTAGCTATAGCTAGAGACCTGAAACTTTCAGAAATAAAAGATCTTGATTAGATATATGATAAAAATTTCAGCCTCCTACGTAAAGATAAAGTATGAAAAATATCATCAACAATGCATCTTCCGTTATTATGGGATACGTTTTTGTGGTATCTTGTAGTCCCTTTAAGGTCTTTAGTGGGGATGAATCATTTATATCACATGTTGTATTCACTGATCTCTGCAAAATGAAAAATATCATATTCGAAACGGCGCCTCACACTTGGAGACCTTCCATCATTAGTTTTTTTCAACTTAAATTAGTTGAGATAGTACTTTTTTCCTAATAAAACAGCTGTTACAATTGTAAAAGTAAGAATGACCAATCTTCTCCAAAATAAGCCGTAATCATGAACTATTTTTTACCATAGACACAACTCATTAAGGTCTACAAGATGCGCTACACTCTAACATAAAATGTGTCGCATTTATATGTCGTGAGTTATTGTGCCGTACTTAAAATGTGTTGTATACGAATTTGTCGCGTTCTGTTTGTTCACTCTTCATTCACCGTTTTTGTTATGCACGCACAGCCATATATAAGCAACATGGTTGAATGTAAGAAAGATAAATATTTCCACAATCATTTTTTTTTAGATTGTTTCTTGATAATTTATTAGTCGAGAAAATGCCACTCTCAATCAATGTTCGAGAGAGGACTACCCTGAACTGGTCTGACAGAGATCGGACGAACTCGAGGCTGGAAAGATCTCAAGAAGTAACCTGCTTGAGTTTTCA